GAAATGTCAAAGCATACTGAGCATCTTTCTCTTTGACACCATGTCTGAAATCCCACGTGATCTGTCAAATACTAATGCATGAAAATCCTAACCTCAAAAAAATCACCCGTTATTTGTGTGAATACACAAATATTTTGCTTTTCCCAATCACGAAAAACAATTTGACGAATTTTTTAATACAAAAAAATTTCGTCCCAACTTTTTTATTTTATACGAATATCCCAATATAAGCAAGTAAAGAAGTATATGTTCGGGTGCAACCGAATTTTATATACCGGCGCATGTATCAACTATCGTGGGTGCAACTTTCTTTAAACTACCTAAAAGTCTTATTTATTGTTGAGATATTGTTGTAAGTATTAACTTGGAGTAAATGAAAGTCCTCAGTTGTTGTGATATCGGAGTTTTCGTATATCCGAAAATTACCGTTATACGGAAAGCCGATGCAATTTTAGTCCGATTTGAATAATTTTCAACGAATTAATTTTTCGTACCAAGGTTATTAAATGCACCCAGTTCGGTAGTAATTGTTAAATCGGTTACGGAGATAATAAACATTTTTGGTCAAAAGTGGGCGGAGCCACGCCCAAAATCCAAACATTTATAATAACCTAATTTTCTGCTCAGTGGTCATTGCAATAGTCGATTTTGAGTCAATTAGCTTCAGTAGGTACTGATTTGTCGTAGTTTTCGTGTTTCTGTATATTACCGTTATATGGGAGGTGGGCGTCGCTATTCACCGATTTCAAACATTTTCAACAAATTTCTTAGCTGGATCCTAAGTAAAGCTCGTACCGAGTTTGGAAAGGATTGGTGAAGCGGCTACTAAGATACAGTATTTTATCATAAGTGGGCGGGGTCACGCCCCCTTTCCAACAATTTCATAATGATATTATTTTGCACCAAAATTTTACTTCACATACTTATTTTCAACAATTTTGATCCAATATCATATGCTGAAATATCATAGTTTTTGCATTTTTCGAAAATACCGTTATATGAGAAGGGGGCGTGGTTACAGTCCGATTTCGTCCATTTGCAATAGCAACCTGCCTTGGATAAAGGACAACCTATACACCGTTCGTTGAGATATCTCAATTTTTGCTCGAGTTATAGTGTACACGGACAGTCGGACGGACGGACAGACAAACAGAGGCTTAATCGACTTCTCTTTTCATTCTGATCATTTATGTATACATCTGTCTATATCTATCTCGATTCCTTTAGGCTGTTACAAACAACCTTTAGGCGAAAGAAGTTATAATACCCTGTGCACAAGTGCGCTCGGGTACAAAAATGTACAAATGTACCAATCGTGTGACACTGCCTTTGCTCTTTTCTTTCGTTGTGTACTACAGTTAACAATGGCCCATGGATGGTGAGCAATTATCGCCGTTGCGCTTCCCGTGCCAGCTAATATCACGAATTAAGCGGCATAAGTGTCTAGTAGGAAATGTTGTGAGAAGGGAGAATTTGCAAAACTGAATTGCACTAAAATAGCTCAGTTAATTGAAAAAGTGCCTTTTCGCATTCATGCAAAATTACCATTTCCTCACTTCTCACTCAGAAATCGTTTATTGCAAAAATTCATTACTTCAAATTATAAGCTAACAAATATAAATCAAACTCCTCTGAGAAATTTTGATTAAAAGGAAAATAAAAAATAAAAACGAATGTGAAAAACTAGCGTGCACCAGTAGTGCGATTCTGTAACTCTTAGCAATAAAAAAATTGTTAGGT